GGAAGTGGTTTGCCAGAGCCTCCTTCCTAGAGCAGAGCCCAGCTGGCGAGCACAGGAGGCGTGGGTTCCGTTGCTTCACGCCCTTTTTTCGGGCGGGCGCGGTTTTGCGCTTACCGGCAGCTGCTCCCGACTCCCGTGCAAGCGCCGCCAGGATTTTTTCCTCCCACCGGAGTGAGAGTCCCCATTTATATACTAACGTGAGTTTTCGACCTGTTGGGTTGACAGGAACTGGGGAGGAAACAGGAGCTCACCCTGTTTAGCACGAAGGCTGGACTCGAATCGCCGAAGCGTCAGCCATTTCTGGCCGGCAACTTTCAGCGTCATTAAGCTACTGCGCCACTGCATCCCCAATACAAACAATACCAGAGAGCAAAATAGGAGACAGCTGAATAAAGAGCTTTCTCATAAACTGAGAAACAAAAAGAGGTTTAAAAAATGGAAAGAGCGTATAGTATAAACAGAATATCAGAATATAGTCTGAATCTGTAAGGATTGGGTCAGGAAGGCTCTGAATGAGCGGAGGCTTGCCATGAACACCAAAAATAAGAAAAAAGGCGGCAAGAAGAAAGTCAAAGAAATGGTCAGTCCACTTGTTAGAGAAGACAGCAAGATGGTGACAGACAATGGGGAGAAGGTTTAACTGCTTAATTCCTATTTTGCATCTGTCTTTTTACAAAAGGAAAAAATGATCCAACCTGTCTCAAGCTGCACCATGGAGGGCAGAAAAGAAATCCAGATCAAAATAGGCAAGGAAGTGGTGAGAGAACAACTAGCTGCTTTGAGTGAATTCAAATTGCTGGGGCCAGTTGGATTACATGCCAGGGTGCTAAAGGAACTGGTGGAGGTGATCTCAAAATCACTGACTGTAATCTTTGAGAACTCCTGGAGTATAGAAGATAGAAAAAGAGCTAATTTTGTTCCAAAGTTTAAAAAGAGAAAAAAATGGACCAGATCAGCTTGACATCAACATTTGGGAAAAACTGGAAAAGGCCAGCAAGCACGTAGAAAGGAACTATTTCTGGAAGCCAGCATAGGTTTGTTAAAAATAGGTTGTACCACACAAATGTTGCTGCCTCTTTTGACAAAATGACTAGGTTAGTAGACCAAGTAAATGCTGTACCTGTATTTTAGTAAGGCGATAAAGTACCACTACTAGATGGATTTGCAGTTGATTGGGTAACTGTACCCATTGTGTGGTCCTTAATGGATCTCTCTCTACAAGGAGAGGCATATGCAATGGGTTTCTATCCTGGGATCAGTGCTCTTTAACATTTTTATAAATGACTTAAATGAGGGGATAGAAAGGGTGCTTAGCAAATTTCTGGACAACAGAAAGCTGGTGGGGGGAGGGCGGAATTCCTAACATCTCAGAAGATAGGCTCAAGGTTCAGAAGGTTCTTGATAAACTTGAACATTGGACCGTATCCAACAAAATGCAGTTCGCTGTTGAAAAATGTAGGGTTCTGAACTTAGGAAAAATCAGATGTACAGATCCAAGACAGGCTCAACAGTAGTACTTGTGAGAAGGATCTGGGTGTTCTGATAAACCACAGATTAAGCATGAGCCAGCAGTGTGCTGCAGCTGGCAAAAGAATCCATGTAATCTTGGGCTGCATCAACAGAGGTATAATGTCAATATCATGGGAAGTGATAGTTAAGTTCTACACCCCATTGATCAGGCTACATCTGGAATATAGTGTCCAGTTTTGGTTGCCACAGGTCAAGAAGGATCCTAAGGAACTGGAAAGACTGCTAAGAGCAACAAAGATGGTAAGAGGCTTGGAAGCTAAATCCTATCAACAGTTAAAAGAACTGGGTATGTTTAGCCTAAAGAAGAGAAGGCTAAAGGGAGAAGTGATTGGTTTCCTATTCTTGAAGGACATCACAGGGAAGACAGGTATAATTTTATTCTTCTTAGTGGCTAAGTGTAGGACAAGAACCAATGGGTGGAAGCTTCACAGAGACCCAAACTCAAAATAAGGAGGAGTTTCTTGACTGTGAGAGCTGTTAAGCAGTGGAACAGCCTGCTTCCTGGAGCTGTGAGTGCTCCATCACTGGAGGTTTTTAAACAAAGGTTGGGCAACCATCTGCCTGGGATTCCTGCCCTGTGCAAGGGGTTGGACTAAAAGACCTCAAAAGTCCCTTCCAAACTTGTGATTTTACAGTGGTGCTTAAAGGTTTGTGAACTCTTTTGAATTTTCAATGTTTCTGCATAAATAGAACATGGTCTGTTCTCCACACAAGTCCTAAAACTAGATAAAGAGAACCCAATTAAACACATGTGACAAAAACATTAGACTTGTTCATTTATTTATTAAGGAAAATGATATAAAACTACATATTTAGGTAGGTCAGATTTATGCAGAAATACTGAAAATTCAAAAGGGTTCACAAACTTTTAAGCACTACTTCTATGAAATAAAATTGGTAAGCAAATTATATTGCAGCACTAACATTACAAAATGTTAAAATGCCTGAAGATAAAGAAAAGAAAATATGAGTAGCTACCAAGCCCAGGAGTGCATTCCAGATCTAGAAGTCTACTACTGAGGATGGTTACCCTTGAGATCAAGAAAACCTGGACCAAATACTCCAGAAATGACTGCATGACAGATAGGAATGTGTAGGGAGATATGCTCCCTCAGATGTGGTGGTCTCAAGCCATGAAGATTTACAGCTTAATTCCAACTCTGAATGTCAATGCAAGGCACTGATTAAGAACTTACACAAAAAGAGACAGAACAATGTGTTATCAACATGCTCATTACACCATACTCCAGTTCTCTCAATGATATTGCTCAGTGACTTTATGTAGATTTCTACAACAAAAATTCCATGTCATCTGTTTTAAAGAATTATGGAATCATTCCTTTCATAATGAAAAAGTTGTAACACTCTGGACTCAACTGGTCATCCCTTCTCTGCTAAACAGGGATAAGCAACTCTACCAAACACCTTGTCCACATCTCAAGATCCAGTTAGTCATTTAGATATTCCAATCAGGCAATGCCCTTAACAGACTTAACCACCTGGATAGCAGAATCTAAGTCTTGAAGATATGAAATATTGTGTCTTCATAAGATTGTGTCTTTTGCAAACATCTCATAATCCTGTTGAGGATTCTATCAGCTCTCTAACCAGGCACTGAATCATTTAGCAAAGCTCAGGTGGAAAACGCTAAGAATATGTAATGATGGAGCAAGAAAATGTCTTCTTAATGTCTATTATCACCATGCTTGATCATTATCAAATTCTTACTCATGTTTGATTAGATCTGAGACAAGTTTTCCTCTACCTGTGTTCCAGCTGTCTCTTAACTTGCTTCATCTATCTCCACCCAAGGTGTGTAACCAGCTGGCTCTGTCAAGTGGAAGAGGAAGCTTAGAAGCAATCTTGCTAATTGCCTATACCATCTTCACATTGCAAAACATGAGGTGTGGTTCAAAACGGTTGCCTATCACATATAGTCTAATCCTAACCTTAACCCTAGGCTATGACTAATTACATATATTGGATTGAGAGTATGTTCATTTATTGTATACCCTTCCTTTTTGCTCATAAGACACTCAAGGCAACTAATAATCTAAAATAAAATACAAACAATTAAACAATCAAATAAAATTGCTAAAATTCTTATTACTGTATTTTAAAAGGCCTACCTGAGAAGGTCTTACCTCCTTTTCTGAAAGCAGAAAGAGTAGAAATTAAATACAGCATTTGATAGTCTGGGAGTTAAGGAGCACAAATGTTGAGAAAACCTCAAAAAGGAATTATGTATGAAGTCTTGCACCATTCCAGCATGGACTCTGAAGTCCTCGGAACCACCATTCTGGGGTCCTAAGAATTAGGAGTGTGTATGAAAGGGTAACTCTGTTTTGTCTGTGCACAGAACACACTGCTAAGAACCATGTTACAACCATCACTCTCAGTTCAGAAAGAAAACTATTGGGCAGCAACCAGAAAACTGCACCAATGAAGTTCCTACTTTGTAAAAAGTGTCCAATACAAGATACATACACTCCAGCAGCAGACTGATAGATGATAGCAATGTGAGCCAGGGCTCCTGGAGACTGAGAGAGGAGTTCTGTGCATCGTCCCCATCCCTTCATTTCTCTCAATAGCTGCTGCATGAAAAAAGAAGCCAAGATCTATACAGAGAGAGATGAACTAAGTGCCTTACAGGTTAAATGTAAAAGCCTCTTTCTGGGTGAACAATACTTATTGC